AAGTACTAACACAGAAAGCCTGACAATTTAACTTTGATGCCAAACCTAAACTTATGCCATTTAAGATGCGTCCTAATGTCAGGTATTTTAAAATAAATTTTTATGTTTAGAATTATTTTATTATTATTCTCTTTTTATTTGATCAGAGTGAGAGGGGGGAGAGGGAAAGTGAGAAAGGCACCAGGTCCAGGACCCAAACCATGGTCAGCCATGTGGGAAGCCCAGCACCCTAACTACTACACCACCTGCCAGTCCCTTTTTAATATTTTTTAGAGAGGATGAGCGGGTGGTGTGGTGGTTAGGGTGCTAGACACTCCCACAGTTCGAGTCCCGGACCTGGTGCCTTTCTCACTTCCACTCTCTCTCTCTCTCTCTCTGGTCAAATTAAAATAAGTGAATAAATAAAATTAAAATAAATCAAATAATTCTTTAAAAAAAATTTTTTTTGGAGAGGTTTTTGCTATAGGGCCGTGTGCTTGCCAGAAAGACAGAGATAGATAGAAAGCGAGAAATCATTACCCAGGGCGGATGGCCACACCGCAATCCCTTCTCTTCCATTCTCAGGATCTTGGGCATGCACACACATGTGCCTGGCGTTAGCTTAAGCCACCGGGTCTGAGACTCGAACCACAGTTGACTACATGGGAGTTCAGTGACAGAGCCATTACGCTAACTGCTGGTCCCTAAAAAAATTTTAGAGAGATTTTTGTTATAGGCACAGTGCATGTGCTTGCTGGAGAAGACAGAGTAGAGACAAAAAGCAAGAAATCACCCCCCTTCTGCAATCCCTTCTCCTTTATCCTCTCAGGATTTTGAGTGCACACAAACACATGCCTGGTGTGTTTCAAGTCTCCAGGTCGAAGACATGAACCGAGGTCATCCATGTGGGAGTCCAACAACATAACCACTATGCCATCTGCTGGACTTTTTTTAAAAGTCCATCTTAGAGTAGATTAAATAGAATTCAAGCCAAGTGGTATCAATATCTCTTCACAATATTAACAAACCACATTAACAAGTTTGAAGTATGTTGGCTCCTGATTATTCAGATTCTCTATGAAGGGGAGGTCACCTACTGGCTAAACTTTATTTGTAAGCCCAAAATCAATATTCATGGTGCTTTCAGACTCACGCAAGCACTATGGCTGGCTTATTTGCTTTGTGCTTTTTGTCAGTGACTTTGTTGTCTAAAATAGCTCCCAAACATAACTGCTGTCTAGTGTTCCTAAGTTCTCTAAGACCATGATGTGCCTCTCATAAAAATCAAGTGTGTTAGACAAGCTTTTTCCTTGCGAGAGTTATGGCAGTAAATTCTATCTGAATGCAGCAATGGTGCATACTAAAGCCTTTTTTTAAGAGATTTTTGCTACAGGTCACGTACACTCCTTGGAGAGGCAGAGACAGAGTGAGAAATAGCCCCTGTGGGAAGTATGGCCACACTGAAATCTGTTCTCCACTCTCTCAGGATTTTGGGCACATATGTACATGCGCCCATTATGAGTTTTGAGGTGCAGTAGTCAGTCTCATGGGAGTCCAGCACCTTAGCCACTATCCCACCTGCTGGCCCCAAGGAAGGCATTTTTAATAGAAACATATATATAAGACAAGGTTATGTATTGGTCAGTTAGTCAAACTATGTAACAATGGGCCAGCAGGTGTCTTGATGGTTAGGGCACTGGATTCCCACATCGCTACAATGGTTCAAGTCCCAAAGCTGGTGGCTTGCTTTCTCACTTTCCCTCTCCTGTCTCTCTCTGGTGGGCATTTGCACATGCCCTATAGCAAATTAAATAATAAATAATTCTTTAAAAAAAAAAAAAGTTTAACCAGAGGCTTGCAGACATCTAACCTTGTATTTTTTTCTAGAAGTAATGTTTGGTATTTGCTGGAACTTTGTAGAATAACTATGGAGAATACCAAGAATCACCTGTATCAGACACCTAAGGCCTTTGCTATCATTCTTTTCTTTATACACTCAATTTCATTATATACTAATCTTCTCCAAAATATATGGAATGCACAAGCAAAACCTGAACTTTCCTGAAAGGAAAAGCTGGTTCAGATAAATGGAACACCATCAGGTTCCCAAACAGAAAAAATGATCATTGTAAAATATCTCTTCCCTTTCAAATATATTCCTCTTATTTTGTGGAGTGACCAGAATTTCATATTCAATAAAGACCAGTATCAGACATACTTTTAACCGTCTCTAGAAAATGTCTGCTACTGGGGCCAGCAGGTGGCATGGTGGTTTATTGTACTGGATTCCCACATGCCCAACTGTGGTTTGAGCCTCAGACCTGTTGGCTTGCTCTCTCCTTTTCCCTCTCTGTCTCTATCTGGTCAAATTTAAAAAAAAAAAAAAAAAAAAAGGAATACTTATATTTTAAAAAATGAAAATGTCTTCTACTGGTTTATGATAGTCTTAACATTAAGGAAAGACTGTCAACGTTAGGTCTTCAGAAACAAGTACTATTCTGTTAGTAAATGTCATGACATCTATTACACCGAATCACTTTGATTGCTGTTATCAATACCTTTTGAAATAGTAAGCCACCCTTTCTATAACAGAAGAAAAGATACTGTTAAAACTGATTTTCCATTATTTTACTTATGATTTTCTATTATACTCAGGCTAAATGTCTTAAAACTAAATTTCACGTATAAAGTTTTAAGCTTCATGTGGTATCAGTGTGCAAAATGTATTCTGGGGATGAGGAATGGGAACAAGAGAAGAATGTTACAGTCTATTGTTTTCTATTCACATTGCAATGCTTCCTATTTTATAGTTAATGACAATAATCAAACAGCTTTTTCTTCACACAATTTAAGCAATTCCACGTAAAAATAAAATAACCTCTAGTGGAATAAACTTAACCTGTGGTTTCTTACATTTAAACTGTTACTAGATTATTTCACAGGGCAAACATCTTAGATTCTAAAATTCTCAAAAGTTAAAACCTTTTATATAATATGCCGTTTGACTTAAAATGAGTTGCTAATTCAGTTTTTAGAATGGACAAAACATTACTCTTCATGATAGTAGTTATAATTTGCTATTATGTATAAATTTCTATTTAACATCTGCCTCCCTTGAGTCTACAAGCACCATAAGGTCAGGAACCAACTGTTTACTTAACACTTGTGCTGGACCTTTTCCATTTGACTCCTTCAAATCCCCTCTCCACTTTGCCTTCTGCTACGTTATAACCAATGAAAGTACTAACAAATAAGAGGACGGAAAAGAATGGAATCCACGTATTTATTCTCAGGGTTACCTTTTTTCTTTTTTAAAGATATTTTTTGCTGGGACCAGCAGTTAGCGTAATGGCCATGTTGCTGGACTCCCATGTAGTTGACCGCGGTTCGCGTCCTGGACCCAGTGGCTTAAAACTTACGCCAGGCGTGTGTGCGTGCGTGCCCAAGATCCCGAGAGGAGAAGGGATTGCGGCGTGGCCATCCTCTTGGGGGGTGATTTCTCGCTTTCTGTCTGTATGTCTGGCAAGCGCACGCGCCCTATAGCAAAAAAACTTCTCCAAAAAAAAAAAAAAAAAAACACTTCACATGCGTAATTAAAATATACATTTAGGAACCCCATACCCTCAAGGTTAGGTTTATTCTCTTTGTAAAAAAACAAATAGCAGTAAGCTTTATAAGGAAATGTATACATTAACATTTTTCTTCTAAGTTCGATGATTTAAAACAATTTTTTGGAAACCCTAATTAATTACTGAAAAAAGTGAATTTGCTGTCAAAGTTAAGTTTTTTCCTTTTGTTCCTAAGATTCCATGTAAAAAACACTTTACAGGGCCAGCTTGTGGCACAGTGCTTTAAGGTAGATGGGTCCCACATGGATGAGAGTGGGTGAGTCTGGGGCTTGGAGGTGTGATATGCTTGGTGCCAAAAATTCAAAGAGAAGATAGTAAAAGAGGAGAAAGGATTTCAGTGTGTGGTGGTTCTCCATTTGGAAAAAGATGCTTTCTCCCCAACCCCAGCCCCCACCTCAAGAGGGCACATGCCCTCCACAGAAAAAAAAAAAAAAAAAAAAAAAAAAAAAAGGGCAAAGCACTTCTTGAAGGTACAGTAATGTGAACTGATAGGAACAGTTAACATTAACTGATTTTTCAGCACTGCACACAATGGATAATTTAGTGAACATTACGTGCAGGTTAAAGTCCAGAGAACATAAAACATTAAGAATGACACAAAACCAATGACTCCTTATTTATACGACAAGTTATCCCTCTTTAACGTAAGTCTCCCAGGAGTGAAAAACCAGGAAATGAGAGCCAATTTTAGATTCCATTCTAAAAGAATTTTTTTTTTTTTAAGAATTACTTTATTTAACCTTATTTATTATTTTCCAGTTTGATCAGAAATGTGAAAGTGGGAAAGCAAGCCACCAGGTCCAGGATCTGAACCATGGTCAGCCATGTGGGAGTCCAGCACCTTTAACCACACCACCTGCCGGCCCCAAAGAACTTTAGTTTTTGAAATATCAAAAAGAACGTATTATTTCACCTGTAGGTAGATTCTATAGAATGAGAGCTAGAATAAAGCAATAAAATGCATATTAAGTGCAAGTGAAGGAGACTCGCAGTTGGCGTGATGGCTATGTCGTTGGACTCCCTTGTAGTCGATTGAGGTTCAAATCCCAGACCTGGTGTCTTAAACTCATGCTGGTCGCATGTATGTGCACGTCCAAGATCCTGAGAGGAGAATGAAAGTGAAGGGATTGCGAGGTGGCCATTCCCCCTGGGGGGTGATTTCTCGCCATCCATCTGTCTTTCTGGTGAGCATACGCACCCTATAGCAAAAACCTCTCAAAAAAAAAAAAAAAAGTGCAAGTGAAGTAAAAAAGACACATATTCTTACATATTCACAATAAAAGATATATTTTTGTTCCAAAAAAATCAAAGTTTGATCATCTAAGAATGGAACTACCTGGCAGAAATGTGCTCACTGTTATTTCAGGAATACATGAAAAACTATCATTTTAGTTTAAGTCAAAAGACAACTTTCCCACATTTATGTTTATTAAAAACTGACATAAACAAACAAAACCTGTACAAAAAAAATACCCCAAATCACTTATCACTTTGAAACAGTAATTGTTAGAAACATTATCGCCTAGGACCCCCTCTTCCTCTGCCCCGGCCACGTCCTCTTCCTCTTCCTCGGCCTCGGCCTCTTCCTGCAACTAAGAGAAAAGGAAAAGAAAGCAAGTTAGATTCTCTTCTGCATTAACGTTACTTGAACACTACAAGCAGGATTATCACCCCTGTAACTCAATTAGCTATAGTGAAGAAAACTTTACCTTTTTCTTTTTCAAAATTATTTATTTAACTCTACTTATGCATTCATTCATTTTTTTAAAATTTGACTAGAGAGAGAGAGTGAGAGAGCAAGCCACCAGGTCCAGGACTCAAACCATGGTCAGCCACGTGGGAGCACTCAGCGCCTTAACCACCACGCCACCTGCTGGTCCCAAATTTGTTTTTCTTTTAAAGGATGGTTTATTTCATTTTATTCATTCATTTTTTTTCTAATTTAACCAGAGTGAGACATACAGAGAAACAGAGGGAAAGTGAGGAAGCAAGCCACGAGGTCCAGGTCCTGATTGGCCATGTGGAAGTGTCCAGCACCTTAACCACCTTAACCACTATGCCACCTGCTGGTTTCCAGTAAAGAAAACTTTAACTCTGCTTCTCAAATGTGCTATCTCAAAGTTCCCTTCATGCCTAACACAATATTGTACAGAACAAAGAACTGCCAGCCTAAAGACATTTATTTCATTTAAATTTGTTTAGTGAGAAAGTTATCAAAATTACAGCAATTTTTCTTCCTACCAGGACTAAAATTCAACATGAAATAAAATACAAATCATCTGAACCTCATACAAGATATAGGAGAGTATCAACAGAACATAGCATGAACACCCTGTGCCAGATTTTCAGTTACTGAATAGATTTCAAGCAAGTTAATCATTCCTTAAAAGCAAAAAGAATAAGTCTATAAGGCTAGCAGGTGCCGTGGTGGGGTTGAGAGTTCGGACTCCTACATGGCTGACCCTTGCTTTCTCACTTTCTATCTCTCTCCAGTCAAACTGAAAAATAATAATTTAAAAAATCTAATATTTCTTTTCTTTTTCAAGAGAGATTTTTGCTATAGGGCGAGTGTGCACGCCAGACAGGGAGGGACAGAGAGACAGAAAGTGAGAAATCACCCCCTGGGGGGATGACCACATCTCAATCCTGTCTCCATTCTCTCCTCCTAGGATCTTGGGCATGCACGCACATGTGTATAGCTTGCGTCTTAAGCCCCTAGGTCCAGGGCTTGAACCCCAGTTGATTATGTGGGAGTCCAGCGATGTAACCATTATGCCATCTGCTGAGACCAATAAATATTTCTTAATAAAAAGTCTAGGACTTTTGTTAAGCAAAGTGGAGTGACCACACCTATCTTTTTGTTCTTTTTTTTTTTTTTTTTTACATTTGTTACAGGGTGCTTGTACTTGCTAGAGAGGGAAAATGAAAAAGCATCCTACAAGGGGGATGGCCACACAGCAGGCCCCTCCTCCATTCTCTTGGGATTTTGGTCATGCACACACACGTGCTTAGCATGTTTTTCAAGCCACCAAGTCTTGGACTTGAACTGCACAGTCAGCTATGTGGGATCCAGTCACCATAAACCACCACACCACTGGCTTGGGCTAGACCACACCTATCTTTAATTCCTATCTTTAATATTATTTTGAAATAATATTCATAATAGAAAAATAAAAATGATAAATACCCATGAGGACAAAAAGAAAGGCAGACAAAATACAGAGGATAAAAAAGATTTCAAGAACATTTTAAATCAAAAGTAAATTGAGAACTGTGAAAGTTTAGTGAAGAGAAAGTAACATCCGAAAAAACTAGGGCTTTAGAAGAAAGAGGTGAGATGATATGAGCCAGGAGGCTACAAACAGAAAAAAATGGTTGACAATCTATATGGAAGATTAAGGCTGGCAAGTCCTCTTCCTACCTTGCAAAACCAATCATTTCCCTTCCTCTCTCTGGCATGGGCACATGCCCTATAGCAAAAATGTCTCAAAAACAACAAAAATTTTTTTTTTCTTAGTTCTTGTTATGGGGGATATGCGATAGCCACAGAGAGGAGGGAGAGGGAGAGAGACAGACAGACAGACACAGAACGTGAGAAATCAACTCCCAGGGGATGGTCATACAGTAACTCCTTCTCCTATCAGGATTTTGGGCATGTGTGCACATGTGCCTGGCATATTTTTCAAGCTGTAGGATCCTGGACTCAAAAAGCCACACTGCCTTAATCTCCATACCACCAGCTGTCCCAAGACTAATTCTTCATGAAACTTATTTAGTTACATATATAAGTCATGATAGAAAGTATATTTCTTACTGTGGAGGGGGACAAAAATGTCTCGAAATTACTATCTTTTTTGGTTGTTATATAGAATTATTTTAAAACTTTATTTGTTATTATTATTTTCCAGTTTTATCAGAAAGAGAGAAAGGGAAAGTGAGAAAGCAAGTCACCAGGTCCAGGACTTGAACAGTGGTCGACCACGTGGGAGTCCAGTGCTCTTAAAAGAGCTCTTCAAAGTTACTATCGCAAATGAACACCTAACAAAACACTCATCGATTTCCTCTCACCTTGCTCTTACAATGCTGGCAAGACATTTGGGGAAGGCCACACTGAAATCCCTTCTCCTCTAATCTACTGTTGGGATTTTGGTTGCACGCACCCACACACACCTAGCATGAATTTCAAACCACCAAGTCTATGACTCAAACTACAGTGGGCAATCTGGGAATCAAGCGACCTAACCATCGTACTATCTGCCTGTCCTACCAGACAAACCTCTTGCAATGTAGGTGAGTGGAAATTTTTCCTGAGAAAAACAGATCTGGAAAAGCCTTTCAAATCTGAAATTTTGGGTCTCCTTAGTGAGGAGGCAAACTCACTTCCGAACACCACACAACAGTGAAACTCATGATATGAGAAGTCCAGCTTTGTTCCCTAGAACTTTCCCTCTTTTCCCCCCCATAACTTTCTCTTTAAAGCTCCTTGTTTAAGGCCTCTGGAGCCGAGCAGGGTTGAGGAGATACTTTTTTTCCCTCTCCCTCCTTTCCTCCTCTCTTTCCTTCCCCGCCTCGGTCCACTGGAGCCTGCTAGGGCAAGCAAACCGACACACATCTATAGATTTCTTGGGAACCAGCAGTTAGCGTAATGGTTATGTCACTGGACTCCCACGTAGTCGACCGCGGTTTGCATCCCAGACCCGGTGGCTTAAAACTCACGCCGGGCACGTATGCATGTGTGCCCAAGATCCCAGGAGGAGAATGGAGAAGAGATTGTGCGTGACCATCCCCCCCGGGGGGTGATTTCTCGCCTTCTGTCTCTCTGTCTGGCGAGCGCGCGTGCCCTATAGCAAAAACCTCTCAAAAAAAAAAAAATCTACAGATTTCTTCAAACTCAAAATCTCATTGCGCCAATACTTTTGCACAGAACTCTTACTTACATGTCTCATCAAAACTCCAGAATGAACATCAAAAGGAAAACATTTAAAGTTGATGATATGTTATCAAAAGTACAGAAAATGAAAGGAGAGCAAGAATCTCATAGCTTATCAGCTCATTTGCAGTTTACATTTATTGGTTTCTTCCACCAAAACAATAAGCCATCACAAAACTCAGGAAATGAACAAAATTCTGTTACCCTAGAAGTCCTGCTTGTGAAAGTTTGCCACAAAAAACGAAAGGATGTGGGAACAGCAGTTAGCGTAATGGCTATGTCACTGGACTCCCACGTAGTCGACCACGGTTCGAGTCCTGGACCCAGTGGCTTAAACTCACACCGGGCATGTGTGCGTGCGTGCCCAAGATCCCGAGAGGAGAATGGAGGAGAAGGGATTGAGGAATTGCCATCTCCCCTGGGGGGTGATTTCTTGTTTTCTGTCTCTCTGTCTCTCTCTGTCTGGCGAGCGAAAACCTCTCCAAAAAAAAAAAAGGAATTTAAATTGTCCTATAAGGCAAGTTCCCACAGGTAAAAAGCAGGTGCCTTTGAATCCTGACCTCAAACAAAACCTGGAAATTTCCCATCTCTTGCAGTTTCCAGTAATGAATTTGAACCTAGTAACAGCCATAAGGTGAAGTCTTACTCATTACTATTTGGAATGACTCATCTAGGAAGAAGAGAATTTAATGGAATGATTAATGGAGAAGCCAATGAAAATATTGATGTCAATGAAGAACTTCCAGCCAGAAGAAAATGAAATCGTGAAGACGGAGAAAAGACATTTGTTGCACAAATGACTGTATTTGATAAAAACGTGTGCTTACAGCTTTTAGATGGGGAATACGAAGTAGTCATACAGGATATGGAAGAATGTCCAATAAGCAAGAAAAGAGCAACATGGGAGACTATTTTTGATGGGAAGAGGCTGCCTTCATTTGAAACATTTTCTCAGGGACCTTCATTGCAGTGCACTCTGTTGCAGTTCACTCTTTGCTGGACAGAAATCAATGATAAATCTACAGTTCCTACTGCCAAACCTCTTGCAACTAGAAATTCAGAGTGTCCATCAAGAAAACAAGCCAGGTTCAGTTAAACCTACTCATACTTAAACTATTGCTGTTACAGATCTACAAACAAGAAAAGATACTTCAAATGAAAACCGACAAAAATTAAGAATATTTCATGAGTTTCTGTATAACAAGACAACAAACTGAAGCAACAGACAACCTCTATTGCCCTTGGTGAACACTGAACTGTCACAAACTATATAGTTTACTCAAGCACTTAAACTCTGTCATAGCAGATTTATTTTCAATTGTTTATCATCCAAAAGGTACTAGGATAGATGTTTCTATCAATGAGTGTTATGATGGCTCCTATGCAGGAAATCCAAAGGCTATTCATTGTCAAACTGGATTTACTTTTAGTTGCGATGGACCAGTGAAGAGAACACCTATCACACACATTCTTGCATGCAGGCCAAAACGAACAAAAGCAAGCACGTCTGAATTTCTCAAATCTGAAGATGGAGAAGTGGAACAGTAATGAACTTACAGCAGTGGCAACAATTGTCTGTATTTTCATAGTGATAACTGTTTACCTCTCCATCCATAGGAAATGGAAATAGTGAAGATGAAAAAAACCCTAAATGGCTAAAAGAAAAAACCATTACACAAATTGAAGAATTTTCTGATGTTAATGAAGGAGAGAAAGAAGTAATGAACTATGGAATCTCCATGTCATGAAGAACGGGTAGGGTGTTTATAAATTAAATACTCCATTATTCTTAAAAAAAAAAAAAAAAAAAAAAAAAAAAGAAAAAAAAAAAAACCAGCTCCTTGTTAAATAGTAATAGGTGGCCAAAGCTCTTATATTTCAGAAAAGTATTCAATGTAAAAAACTAAATAATCTCTTTCCCACTAAACAAGATGACAGGTGAAAAAATTACGAAGCAGGGTACTAAGGAGAAGAAACCTGAAGCCAAGAATGCTGATGCCAGTGGCAAGGTTAAAAAGGGTGACCCCAAGGCTAAAAACCAAGAAGGGGAAGCCCCATTGCAGTTGAAACCTGGTCCTAGGTTCAGGGCTTTGGCTGATACTCCCGGTCTGCCACGTATTCCAGGAAGGCCATGTATGAGAGGAAACACTCGGCCACTAAATCCAGGATGGAAAAGAAAAAGAGGTTCTTATGACTGTTATAAAACCAGTCGTGGAGGGAACCAGCAGTTAGTGTAATGGCTATTGCTGGATTCCCACATAGTTGACCATGGTTTGCGTCCTGGACCCGGTAGCTTAAAACTCACGCCGGGCGCATGTGCGTGCGTGCCCAAGGTCCCGAGAGGAGTGAAGGGGAGGGGAGGGGACTGTGGCATGACCATCCCCCCTGGGGGGTGATTTCTCGCTTTCTGTCTGTCTCTGTCTGTCTGGCGACCACACGCGCCCTATAGCAAAAACCTCTCAAAAAAAAAAAAAACCAGAAGGTGCTATAAACCTCAAAAACAAGTAG